AAATGTTTTGGGTTAAAGATTTAACTTGGGTTGGTTAAAATAAATAAAGAAGGCAGCCTACTTTTCATGAATAAAGGAAAATTTTACTTCAATCTTATATTATATTTTTTATCAGGGAACTATACATATATTATACTAAAGTGATCTTGATTATTTTCACTATCAACTTATGATAAGCAAACAAAATACAAAATTGCATGTGCTTAGCTATTTAAATGGAAGATGTATATGGACCGTATGAAGCGTACCGAGAGGGTGCGCGTGGTTTACTCCTTTAGCTAGCGATTACCTGGTGCAGCAGAACTACAGGGCAGTCATGCTCAAGTTGTTTTGTTGAGTGCACACATACTGACACAAAAATGTTGCGCTTTTAATGGAAGCTCTGCCAGCGCTGTGCACCACTCAGTGATCGGACTTCTACCACATTGTGTTAGATCTGCCACTTTTTTGAGCATCTACCACACAAGGTCTGAAATCTACCACATATTCGCATTTTTGAGTAGTTTTGTTTTTGCTCGACATAATTTTCTTAATTTTAAGAGCAAAAATTGCCCAACACTAACCACTAAAAATAGGCAGAATGGGATTATAAAATAAACTGTAAAATATTTAATTTTCTCAATATTCAAATTTTTGACAGAACACGTGGTTTTATTGCTTTAAATTGAAAAAATATATGATTTATAAAAATAATTAATAGAGAAAATGTTAAAAAACGGCGATTTTTCCCGTTAAAAGTTTTACTTTTACTTGAGAATTGTCAAAATCGGCAAATCTCAAGTAGCCGTTTCTGGAACGTTCCACATTTGTTCGCTCGTGATGTGATAAAAAGTAAAACTTGCAGCACTCCGCAAGGTTGCAGAAATCTTTCAAAATATGTTCGAAAAATATCATGATATGGAAGGAACAGCTTTACACCTTCAAGGAAAAAAATTTCGAAAACTCAACGCAATTTTTAGCAACTTCAATCTTGCACTTTATTATACTAAAATAAATTTTTTTTTAGATTCTAATTAAAATGTTTGCAATTTATGTGAAACCTTCCAGAATTTTTTTAATTTTTATACAAAGTTTGATACAAAATTTTTTGAAATCTACCACATTTTTTTCCAGATTCTACCACACAAATTTTATTTCAAGTCCGATCACTGGCACCACTGGTCTATACATAGATATATTCTCCCTCTGCTGCTTACATAGGACCAGCGTTATAATACCATTTCATGTTCATATACCTTTCATGAACATGAAATCAAATAAATAAATATGTAAAGTGTGTTTAGCTTTTCAATAGACACTAGGCTTCGTTATGAATTGTCATTGCTATTCATTGCTATTTATGTACACAAAAGGAGAATTTCACTTGAGCAGTTGGAATTCCCACACGCCATCCATTTACTTAGCATATTTGCAATTGATTTACCTTTTGCCGAGAGTTACGTATCTATTTTAGTGAAGCGAAACAAGCTTACGCTGCGCTGAATAAGTATATACAAAAATACTTATGTATTTAGGAGTTTTTGTTCGTTTTGAATCCGTAACAAATTTCAAGTAGTCATACAAAATCTTATGGCATCCACTGTAATTTGAATTTATTCAGTTAAATTATTTTAGTGTGATATAAGATGTTCTAACGATGATCACAGCCATCGTGGTAGGTAAAGTGTATCAAACAGGGCAATTCTGGCAACCGTCTTTCAACTCACATCAGACTTTCGTAAGACAAAAGTCTTTCGGAAGACAATTGTAAATTCTAGCTGTTTTTTGTCTTTCGAAAGACTTATTGAAGGATCTGCTAATGAGGAGTTCTTATTAATAGTATTATTCTGTTTGGACTTTAGCATAAGGTTTTCTAAAAATTAAATTCAATAGAACAAATATAGAAATTTTTATTTTTGAAACAATTAAAATTAAAATCTAAAAGAAAATTAAATTGAAAAAATAAAATAAAAAAATAAAAAGTTTCTAAAAGTCAAATGAAACTTAAGAAAATAGTTTTTATTTTTAAAGCAATAAAATCTAAATATTAAAAAAATATATAAAAGAAGAAGAAATTCAATCAGAAAAAGATAAAAATAGTAAAATAAGTTAACAAAAATCAAACTAAACTAAAAAATTTGTTTTTTCTGAAAACATAAAATCTAAAAATTAGAACAGAATTAAATAAAAAAAAAAACAATAAAATACATTTTTAAAAATGAAATGACATTGAAAAGAACAGTTTTATTTTTAAAACAATAAAATATAAAAACTAAATTAAATAAAGAAAAAAATTTAAATCTCAATATTAAAATAATATTAAATTAAAAAATAATTAAAATTAAAAAATAAAAGGAAGTATGTTTCTTATTTTTAATGGAATAAAAAAATATTTTCTTCTTAAAACAATAACATCTAAAATTAAGGGAAAATCAAATTAAAAAAGAAAAAAAAATCTCAAAAAACTGCATAAAATAAATAAGTTTCTAAAAATGATACGAAATTTAAAATATATATATTTTTCTTCTTAGAATAAAGTGTAAAAACTAAAAGAAAATTATATTAAAAAAATCATTTAAAAACAAAAAAAAATCGCTGCCCGAGGATTCGATCCTCGAATCTATCAAATAGCAAGCCAGAGCTTTGCTTACTCGCCCATTGCGACTATTGGAGCACATCTCCATTTGTTACATATTCAAGTGATTTCTGTCAAAAGAGCTTTTCAACATAAAAGTTGGCAAGGCAGCTTTTTTTTGAAAGACTTTCGTGCCATAATAGAATAAACAAAATCCTTCAAACCATCTTACCTACTGTTTTTCAATTGCCTTAGACTTTAACTATCTTACCCAGAATTTCCCTGTAGTTTTACATACATATGTTCTATAGGGGCCCTAACATATAATAGGATTGTGAACAGCAAATCGAGATATATTTTCCGTAATAAAAAGATAAAGAACGCCCATAAATTTTAGGAGAAAATGAGCCGACCTAGGGAACTTTTCCACTCTACGGAATGGTAGCAACGCTGAAACTAAATAGTGGAAATTCAAATAAAAAATCATTGCTTCCTTGAAACTGTCTATTAGATAGAAATTTTTGAACTTGAAAAAAACTAATTTTTTTTCAAACTCTAAATTTAAATTAAATTAAAATTGTTTAACATTACTTTACTTAGAGTGTGCGAAAAGCAATTTTTTTCAAAGTTCGAAATTCACATCTTAAAAAAAACAAAAAGCACCTTCTTAAAAATTTTACGATCTTGGAAGATCAGTTGGAGATATTATTTAAAAAAATTTAGCTACAAATTTTAAAAAATTTTGTTTTGCGATATTTTTTCCAAACTACATTTTTATCCGATTTTATAATTATTATTTATTATTATTTTTTTTAATGTGTTTTCGTTATAGCCCTAAATGTCACGTTTAAAACGAGATCAGAACTAATTATAGTTTTTGAAATATTCAAAAAGTTTTTAATTTTGCCTAATTTTCGAAAAATTTATTTATTTTTTTCCTTTGGCAGAACTTTGTTATATTCTAAAAGAAAAGTTCGGGGCCAAAATTCATCCAAATCAAAAATGTTCGATTCCAAACATTGGCCGATTTGACATAGATTGACCCATATATTCATACATATATGTATTATATGTTTGAAAACTTTGATTTTCAAATTATAATTTCCCGGCCCAGTAAAATCGTTCCATAAATCTGGAGAAAATAATTAAAGCTCTTTTTTTAGGGATTTATTAACCAATTTTTTCTTAATCTTTTAATAATTAAAGCTCTTAAGTTTCATCAATGATTTATATAAATACACATGTACATTTAAAGTTTTTTGCCAAACTCTCACACGTATCTACTAATTTTAAAAATAAACAAAATTTTAATTCACAAAAAATAATAATCCTTTTTTATCGCAGCTTCAAAAGCTCTACTTCTGCCAAATTTTAAGCTGATACAGCAGGCAGCACGCCAACCACTGGTACGACAGGTTGTGCCTCTTCACCAGCCTTATCTGTTTTTGCCGGGCTTTTGCCCTCGTCTTCTTTGCCCTCGCCTTCTTTGCCCTCGTCTTCTTTGTCTGCATCGGCTGCTTTTTGCAAACACTTCTGCTCACAAGCCTCTTTGCTTTCGAAATTGTTCTGGTTACCATTGCAGCCACCATAGACGAACTCCTCGCACTGACGGCTCTCTACATTGTAGGCATAACGATAGAAGAGAGCAAAGCAGCGACCGGTCTCTTTGGGCTGATGGCACTCTGTGGAAGGAAAGAAAACATTTCAATAAGGACTTTCTAGTACGATTTATTATACTTTTATTAAAATTCATCAATAATTGTTAAGTACAAACCTTCAATCACATCTGAGGCCGCCGTGGGTGCAGCGGTTGTCGTTGCATCTGCATCAGCGGCTTTTGGCTGCGCGGTAGTACTCGTAGTATCTACAGCGGCGGCATGCAATGAGGCAACTAAACAGGCCGCGAAGCACAATGAGAGCACGAATTTCATCCTTTATTTAGATTTATTTAAGTCGGTTTTTACTTGTTGATACACAAAACGCCGTGCTGTTAACGCTTGCAGTTCTAATGGCACAATGATGCCTTCGTTCGCCTTCAAAGCGATTTAAGTAGTTCCTTGATGAGTAATTCGGCCGAAAGCGGTCGTACAACCTGCCGCCTTTACACTTCCGACTTGTTAACATGAATTGTACCCGTTCACTTTTTGCTTAACTTAATTTCTTATTTATTTATTTATTTTAATTTTAATTTTTTTCCCCCTTACTCGCTTTATGCAAATGCGTAGCAATTACGCAGTCACTCACGTTCGAGCGCACGTACACTTGGGCTGGTGTGGCGCGGCGTATGACGCGCAGCAAAGCGCTCCAACTCATTAGTAGTGAAGGCGGGTTTTCTCGCTGTGCCTTGGCTTGCATAAGCGATGCGCAGGCAGGTGTGACCGAGCGACCACAGCTATCGACGACAGACGGCAGCTGCGAAAAATGAAGCTTAGCCAGCGTTAACCGGCTAATTTGCAAGCTCAAAAGGTAAGCATCAATAAGCAAATTATGTAGTAGCTAGGAAGCTCTCCAGCTCGGAAGCTATAAACCTAGCCGGCTTAATGACAGCGTTTGCGTTTTAGTCAGGTGCGGCATCAACACTTACTTATCAATGTCAATGATCGTCGGCGCTTAGCAGCCGTGCGGGTGGGTTTCATGTGTATGTATATTTGCCGTGTTGTTGTTTTTGTAAGCTGTGTGTACAGCCTTCAAATTGCACTTTTATCGTACCTACCTGCTTTAAATTAAATAATAACAATAAATTGCAAATACTAAACCAAAGAAAAAACAAAAACAAATGAGCAGTATGTTAATTTTGAGACGCTAACGTCTATTTGTGATAAATTTTAGTAAGTAAATGGCGTGGAAGAGGATTGATTAGTCCGGTTAATGGGTTTTTTTGTCGCGCTTGCTAATGGTAATTTTCACTATAATTATTGTAAATACTATTTATAGCTATCTCTTGCAGACCGCAAATGTACTGTTTAATAAATCACTAGCAGCTGAAAATAGATCAATATATTCTTGTAGATGACGATAACGTAGGTTAGGTTCAGTGATGAGCATACTTGTTTTTATTAAGTATTAGGTATTTACTTACAAAAGTATTTAGGTATTTATGTTGTAATATTCTTAAGTATTTTGAATCTTACTAAATGCCGAGTATGCTAGTATTTACTTACTTTCAGAGCGCAAAGTACTTAGTCTAAAAGTATTTAGTTAGTTGACCTAACGCAACATCGCGTGCAGACGAACGTCGAGACTTTGGCTTCACTAACTACCGCGTACCAAAGTATTTAGAGACTTTATCTTTACTAAATACTGGACACAAAACTACTAAGTATTTATGGATTCACCAATTACTGGATACCAAACTACTTATGACTTGATTAAATACTAAATACTTGCTAAAGCAATAAATAATTTCCGAATTGTGAAGAAAATTTCGGGGTTTTCGAGACTGCTTTTGGATGATAAGGATTTTCGAGACCATTTCGGTGATTCCTATTTCTGCATTTTTGGCTCTATTTCAGGGTTTTCGGTATTTTAGGGACTATTTCGGGATTTTCGAGACCACTTTAGGATTTTTAGAACTTTCGGTATTCACGGAACTTTATCTGAATTCTCGAGACTATTTGGAGATTTTCGATACTACTTTGGAATTTTTAGGGTTTTCGGGACAAATTCGGGATTCCGAGGCTACCCGGGGGTTTCTAGAATTTTTGGGGTTTTGGGACTATTTCGAGATTTTTTTGAAAGTGCTTCGAGATTCTTAAGGATTATAGGGACAAAATATATCGATAAATATATGAATAAACACATCGATAAATATCTCAATAAAAATATCGATGATTATACTGATAAATAATTCGATAACAATATCGTTAAATACTTATATAAAACTACATATACAGAAAAAAATATCGATAAATACATAGATTAAAAATCGATAAATTTATCAATATCAGATCAATAAATACATCAAGATTTCTGAAATAGTCCCAAAATTACGAAATAGTCCCAGTAATCCCAAAGTGGCCGCGAGAATTTGAAAAAAAAATTGTCTTGAAAATCGTGATTTGGTGCCAAGAATCCCGAAAATCTCGAAATAGTTCCTAAATTACGGTGGGTTGATTTAACGTGAGTTATGGTGAGTGGAAGTGAGTTGTAGTACATGGTTAGTACGTGGTTATTTCATTTATTTTCAATCAAATGGAAAACAATTCCTTACTGACTATAATACAAAAGAGCAGTAAGATAAGTAGAGGTGAGTGTAAGGTAGGGTGGTAATTGTTTAAATTTTTCCTAAATCATAAAGTATTTAGTTTGCAAGCATTTAGGCATCTAGTGCAATAATGCCATTAGAATTAATGTCAATTGACATATACAAATGTATTCTCGTTTGTAATGGAATTAAAATCAATGACATTAGTACAAAAGCCAAAATTTACACTTCTAAAATTAATTCACACACACACATTCAGTTGTGTATTAATTTTATAGTTCATTTCCACCAAGCCTTAACTGCAGTTTATACCTATTGGAAAAAAGAGATTACTACTCGAATGGAATGATTCCTCATATTATGTAACAAATTTGCCGGTCACCCCATGATATAATTCTTGAAACTCAGCTCAGCTCTTAACTGCAGTTAAGCATTCGGTGGAAATGAGCCATTAGGATCTTAAAAAAATGTATTTTTTTACGTTCTCCGAAGTGAAGTGATTTCAACGACATTGTTTCCACAATTCTTCTTTTACTTAAATATTTAGCAAACTCTTAAATACCTAAATTTTTTTACTTGAATATTTAGACATCTCCAAATACTAAGTATTTGAGTATTTAGTACCCAGACTAGTACTTTTAATACAAAATTACTTCAGTCTGCTCATCACTGTTTAGGTTAGGGGTCCTCTAGACATTTATTATATGTACATAAGTATGATTCAAACAGCTATGACGATAGGGCTCTAACACGATATTAAATCGTACCGTATGGTCTCCTATGGACGCTCAGAACACCTAAAAAACTAAGAATTAGTTCTGAGCTACACTCTAAAAAATTTTTGTTTAAATTTGCGCATATTAAGATAGGTAACCAGTTTCCTCTCTTAATTTACACATTGCTTGCTTACTTTTACTAATCATATGTGTGGCGTAGAACAAATTTAAATTTTTTTTTTTTGAGTTTTAAAAATTTTTGTTTCACATTTTCAAAGTTTACACATAAAATGTTTAAAGTTTCCTCTAAAAAATTTTCATTTAAATTTACTCATATAAAGAGAGGTAACCAGTTTCCTCTCCTAGTGTGTGCAAATAAATGAAATAAGACATTGAACGGTGCGGACGTGTTATTTTTCGCTCC